ACTTCAGAACAGCAAATTTTCACTTATTTAGAAAATTTCTGGGGAAATTCCATTGGAATTCTCTACAAGGGGCACCCAGAATAACTAGCTGTCTTTCAAAGGAAACTTAGTTGGAACTCAGGAGCAAACCACTCCTTCATACAAGAAGACCGGGAATTTAAACCAAAGGCCAGAATGGCTAGGCAAAGAACTTCTTAAAGAAATGCTAGAAAAAATCATCCAGGAAATTAAAACAAGAACAGAAAACAAAGGGAGACTATAAAAGCATTGCTCATGCTGTTAAAGATAAAAATCAAACCCTGATTAGAGCTTGGAAGCTCTTGGAAGCATTTCCACTTTGATTACATCCTTTTTTATTTTCTTTTTCCAGACGAGGATCAACACTGCACATAGTATTTAAGAAGTTAAATATCATGGCCTATCACATGTCTATTGACTGATACAATGATATACATGTCTTTTCTCTGATGCTTTCCTAATAATTCTTAATTGAATACTTGCATTTCTGTGATCGCCTAAGCACAGGACCGACATTTTCATAGAAACATTTAACTGCTAAATACCAAGCTAAGTGGAATAAGTGAAATAAAAATTGGTTTTCATATTTACCAGTTCACATTTATCTTCACAGAATTTTATTTGCCATTTTAATAACCAGTCATTCAGGCTACTCATATTTAATACCTTTAATAACTTAGTATGATCAGCAAATTTACCAGTTGTTCACAACTGTTCCACCATATTCACATATATTTTGAGACTCATGGAACCCTGTACATCTCCTATGGAACTTCACTCATGGCCTCCTTCCACTCTGAAAACTGACCATAAAAAATCATCCTTTTCTCCCATATTTTAACAATTTTTTAAGAGGCACTTTCCTCTTAGCCAGCTGCAGCGTTTCCTCCTCTTCCTCTTAGCCAGTTGTGGTTTCCTGTAGTGTTTGACGAACTGACACTGTTAAGCACCTTCTAGATCTTTAAAAAAAAAGTATTAGTATAGTTTCAACTGATTTGCACAGTACTGACTTAATGGTATATACTCTCAAACTCCCTCAAATTAACTTTAAAATTTACAACATATTTGCAACTTCATGTCTCAAAAGCTATAAAAGTATTTTTAAGCAACAAATTTTACACCAGTGTTACGATTTTGACTATTTCACCCCGAATGCCTTTAAAAATCTTAGATGTATGCCATCTGGTCTTGATATTTTCTTCATTTTATTTTGTACCAACTCATACTGACAAAGTATGACTTCAGATTATTTCCCCCATAGAGAAATAGTCATGTATATATATATCTCTCTACTAAAACCCTTCTACAGCAAAAGCAGACAATGCTAAGAAAATGTTAAGCAGAAAATGTTAAGACAATTTTGTTCCTATAACTTCATCTAAGTGCTTTTGTTTTCCTTGATTGTCTTTTGGTGCTACAGACTCTCTGCCAGACTTCCTGCTGCTGTTATTGTAGAAATAGAATTTCTTAACTTCCATGTTTCTTGCAACTATTTTGGTTAACAAATCTCTTATGTATCTCGCAATTGTTTTGATTTGCCTTGCTGTGGATTTTTTTTTTTTTAAGTTATATTTACTCTTAAGATGTTTGCAGTTCTTACCATTTTTAAAAAAGTCTTCAGCTATCTGAAAGGTATGTTCTTGCTTTCAGCAGTCTCATACCCTGCTGCTTAACCATGTAGGCTCCCTTTTGCCCTTTCTCAAGCCTTTCTTGCTAAGCAGGATGTATTTGCTCTCTGCCTTCAATACAGTATCTTAAACAGTCTGTGCGCCATCTGCCATGACTTAACTCTTGTAGTGATTCCTTCCAAATTCTTCCTTACCAGAGTCCTTGTTTATAATTGCCCATTCTGAAGTTGAGCACAACTGTGGGGAGATTTCTTGGCTTCTGCAGCCTGCAAGGATATGGAATCTAGAGAGAGAGTCAGCTGAAGTATTTTGAACCACATCCACTTGGCTTTTGCTTCTTCTCTCATGGGATCTTCAACTATCCGGCCCATGAAAATCAGTAATTTCGTTTCAGCAGCCCTCTAATATATATATGTAAGTGTCACTCTGTTAAATCTAATTTTCTAGGATTCAGTCTTGTCCTTCCAACTAATTCCCACAGTTTTTACCCATTATGTGTCATCTCAGACCACGTGCTCTACTCCACCTTTTGCCCACGCTTTAGGTAGACTCACTTGTGACCTCAATTAAGTGTCAACCCTTCTTTACAGTCTCCTGTATTTGAAAGCTCTCCTTGGTTTCTCTTAAGGATGAACCTTCTCCTTACACTGTTTTTTGTAGTTATACATGAAAATATTCCCTTTTAGCTGCTTTATAACTCAGGGAAGGCCATTGCAGAGATCCTGGTCCGCTGCACCAATGCTGTTGAACACCCACTTGTTAAATAAATCACTCTTAACTCACAAAAGGACAATGGTACCTAAAATCAGTCAACATAAACTGATCTTTCCGTCCCAGCCACTTCATAATTAGATTGTGTTAAGCCTAAAATTTCTTTCCCAACATCCTTTAAATGTTGCCCTAGAATCTCTAGTCTCATTTTCTTCTGCCACAGACACCCAGAAGGCCATGTTACCTGACTGCTCCTTACCACTGGCTAGCAGATGGCCCTGATACCACATAGCATGTGCTACCTCATAGACAGCAGGCGTGTTTCTGTACAGCTGCCCCTAATGGGCTCTGAGTTTGCCAGATGCCTGAGTAACAGCCTCCTACCTTCAGAAGGGGCCCCCAGGCAGGGCAATGGCTGCCCTCCTTCCATCCCTCCCCAGGCAACATCCTCCCACACCAAAACTGGCATGGTTATCTTGTGGACAGGTTTTATTTACAACGGTATTGGACAGTCTTCCTATGGGCTGAACATGTATCCCATCTGAGAAAAAAATCTGTCCCTTGGGGATATTCATGCCATGTGACACTTGGGACAATTGTATCAGGAGAGGGACACTTTTATAACACCACAGTGACCACCAGATCTTTTCCTTCCACTTTAAAAAATAGCTATTTTAACATATCCCTGTTTTTTTTCATGAATGATGGTGGCCCAAACCACACCACTTGTCTTTAAAAAAGTTCAAGTGTTGAAAATATGTCTTGTAGACAGATCCAGAACTGTCAGCTTTTTGGTTTACACATCTCATCATTTCAGGCATATTGGTTGTTTTTCAGATGTCAGATAATGAAACACTGCATTATTCTAGAACCACTTCTGCAGGGACTTCTTACATATACAACACCCATAATCCTACAAAAAGACCCATCAGTCACCATAATGTGACCTTAATCAAAAAAGTTCTTCTGGTCTTGTCAAAAAATTTAGCCTAAGGGAATGTAAAAAACACCCAATTTTTGTTGTTTAAGGAGATAATCTAATTGTCTCCTCTAGTTTTAAACTTTATGAAAAAGTATTCAGTGCTAATTATTTGCCAACAATTTCTGAAATCCCAGTTGAGTTTAATTATTCTGTGTTGAAGTGTTATCTCAGAGGAGTATCTGCATAATATACTGACATTAGCTCAATTTATATCACAATATTGAGTATTTACCAAGAGATCTAATTATTTATATCTACAAAAATAAAGAAATTTGGATTTACCCCAGTGACACCATTAAATACATGTGAGTGCATGTGTGTGCACACGGACTGAAATTTACTTTCCAAGCATAAAACCCCAGCTAATGCAGAGCTGTAAACAACAGTGTATGATTGATGAGAACCATGATTTGCAGTGTCCTTTTCCAACTACGTTTGTCACTTAAATTAGGCCTATATGTTGGTATATGATGATTTTTTTTTTTTGCACTACACACAAAAATGTGTAAAACCACTCCTTGGACCAGGTAATTTTTTTTTCATCTCTGTTGTATTTTTCTGAAGAAAATTGTCATTGATTCAGGTGCTTTTTATACAATAAAAATTAAACACACAAGCTGATCTAGAACTCAGCATAGCATAAAAGTATTTGCAAGTAGTTACAAATTATTTCACTATATTTTTATTGGGCTATTTTCAAATATAGATGAATGCATTCTGTTCACAAAAATAAGAGCTTTTCCAAGTATTAATGTTAGATAATAATGGAAGTGCTCAAATTGTCATTCTGAAATTTTCTTATTGTTTTGATAACGTCCCTTCTTTAAACAACTCTGAATATTAGTCTCAAAGAGTAAGCTCTCCGATTTTGAAACACAGGTTATCCAAAGAGGGAGCAAAACCAAGCCCATGCAAGTTTTATGCCCAAATATGTGATTCTAATGACAGAGAAACAAAATCACAGTTAAAAGACTGTAAGCCAACCATAAGCTAAAAAGTGTGGGAACAAAACACAGCCATCATTCTTTAACAAATACAAAGGTTTCATTTATCCATTGCACCAATGGAAACTGAACACTAACTTTGTTTAAAAAAAGAGTAAAACCGTGAGATGATCCCAAGTCTTGCCAAATTAGGGAGGCTAACATTCACTTAATTAGTTCATTTTGTGATTTCCTGACAAACTGTAAAAGCTATTTATGGCTTCAGAGTCACAAACAAAGACAGAGCTCAGGTCTTTCTCCAAACAATACAATAACATGAGCATCTTTTCCAGTAGCAGGACTTGTGGCACTTACTTCAGCAGAGATGGCATTTCATTCATCAGCAGGTAAGGGTGCGCATGCGTGCACACACACACAAATACACACGCATACACTAGTTAACACATTAGAGAAGAGCAACACTTTTTTAAAATATCTGCCCTTTACAAAGTTAACTCACAGATTAAAAAAGGCTTGAATTTTCCATTTTTTTGTTTTTGAAAGATCATTTTTCTGTTAGTGAGCACTTAATAGGTTCCATAAAAAAAATGAATATAAAGAAAAACCCATTCAGCTTTTTAAATCAGATACATATGACTGGATTTAAGATTAATGATTAAGTGAACTGGGAATCACGTGCTTTACTTTTCTCTTAAAATTACACACAGGCTAATGGACTAAGAAAAAAGGAAAAATATATTTTTATTCAAAACAGCTCTAGCATTAAAATGTTCAATAATTCAATAACAAAACACTGCAGTAGATGGATAACAACAACTGTTCTTAACTGTAAACTGCAGATTGTTCTATGAAACAACCTCTTATTTGCTAGCTTCTCAAATTGCTTGTGATCAAATAGTATCAACTTCATGGCCTTGTCAGTATCTTAAAATAAACAAAAAAAACCGAAAAAGGCCTAACACACACGCACATCAAAAAAGACCAAACCCAAAAAACCTAAACCAGTTTGAATAAAATGAGACAGCTGTCAAAAGGTCTCTGTGTAATTCTGGGAAACCACCATTATTAGAGTACATTCCTTTAATTCTTAAACATTCAAATCTTCACTTGCTAAAACCCACTGATAATAAAAAATCTATCCCATTATAACTTTAGATTTCTTTATGTGGATATTAAAATAAACTATGTTCTGAAATTAAGAGTTAAAATACCTCCTCTTGTTTTCCATACATATTTGCCTGTATAAATATACTTAATCATTTTACAAATTACAGTATTTATATTAAAGCTTTCGGTCAGCAAATCATTATAGCTTAATAAGAACAAACAATTCCTGTGTTTTGGTTCTGTCTTTAAATCATTTTTGGAGATAATGAAAAACAGCCAAAATGAGTGACTGCAAATAATATAAACAACACATTTATTTAGAAAAATAAACGAAAAATGCTGCTTGTCTGTTAGATTTCTCCATGAAGTATAGACAAATGGCTAGAAAAAATTTATGTCAAATACATATTACAAATGACTTATTTAACAGTAACTGGGACTAAATGTCAATGTTCAATAGGAACATTTTGGATGTGTAATTCAATGGACTAAATTTCTTGGCTGCTAATATGATAAAAAATGGATGCTATTAAAAAAGATTATATCCCCTTTTTAAATACACCTTATCATGTTGATGCTTTTTCATATATATACATATATATATATGTATGTATATGTATGTATTTATTTAAACCAAAGAAAGGACCGTAGTCCTTTCTGTGAAGAGATCCCCATTGTGAAAAAGAGCGCAAATGTTTTTCTTCAGTCCTAATTTTTTAATTCCTTTTGGAGCCCCGGCAAAATATAGCTTGTGGTGGTCAAACATCTCCTGGGGCCATCTGTGCAAATGGTGGCGCACATCATTACCCTGAATGGAAGTGACAGTGCAAATACTGGAAGTGCATTGAGATGCAATCTCTAACAGCTGAACTTCTTCAAAGTTGGGTGGAGGACAGGAGACAGCATCCTTTTAATCAATTTAATGTCACTGATGCCTTGTTCCTGTATGGCTTTGAATATGTACAAGGGATGACAGAGGTCTTGTTTTCCCACAGACAGTAACATTGCTCTGTTACAGTAAATGTATTCATTTTCTGCTGTCACCTAAGTACTTCATTACTCCTTTTGGCTACATATTGAAATATTTTTGGATGCTGGCTGGACCCATGAAAAACCCATTGTTTGTTACACTGGTTGCTCAGCACAGAACTCAAATGTCAGGCTTGGAGAGAGCAGTTTCTGCAACGGGGCAAGACATTTAGTCCTCTTTTTTCTTCTTTCCCACTAAATGGAATTTAAGGCTGTGGCTTTTGCCAGGACTCAATGTGTAGCTGTCAGATCTGAGAAAAATGATTCAATGCAGATTACACTCATGATCAGTTGTGCTCTGACTTGAAGGGCTTTTCCATTCTCCGAGGAGGGTCAGGTTCCTGATTACTTCTCAGATCTGGCCTGCAAGAAGTCACAATGATGAATCTGATATGCAAGAAATTAACTGACGTGCCTCCAGATATAGATACTCCTTCAAGCCTGAAGGTGCTGTTAAAAATAAAAGAAGACAAGCACAAAGTTATACAAATGCTTCTTTAAATAGACAAAGTTCATAGTAAATAAAAAAGAATTTTGAATGATCATTCCATTTGTCATGTAAGAGTTAAAAGAATTACAATATTTTGAAACTTGACCTTTATAGTTGTACTATTGTTGATACCAGCCTTGGTTCTCTGCTGGGGTAAATGGGTTTAATTTAATGGTGTCTTTGGAATCATATTACATTGCACCACCTGAGAAACTGATCCTGGGTCTTGGAGTACATGGGGATAATGAAATTATGATTATTTTATAATATTTTCTATTGTTCTTTTAAAGAAGATTATTATTCTTAATCTATATAACATAATAATTAAGCTTAACAATATACTTTAGGGCACAAAATGAAACAAGAACTCCTGACATCTTAAAACTAAAGAACTATACATTAAGCATTTGAAAAATCCTCTAAGAAGTCAAGTCTGATTTAACCTCAGAATCCAGATTCTAATGCCTGCTTTCAAATTAAATAGAAAGCGAATTCAGCAGAAGTTACTCACCTGACAGGTAAGTTTCCTAATCACTAAAATACTACAGAGAAATTTTGTGTCTTTAACATTCCCTTTTGTGAAACTGCTTTAATTTGTGTAAAACACAATAATAGTCCTAGAGTCAGTGAAAAACAAAAATGCTCCAATCTAGTGTTGACTCACTGATTTTCCTTACTGTGTTTATTAGGTAAAATAAAACAGTATCAAAAAGAGACACCTTGGGATACTTACCTGTTGGTAGCTAGGGCACTAGGTTAAATGATTAAATTCGCACTTCCTCAGGAAAAGAATGAGAATTTCCTCTTCCAGTGTTGGTAATTTACACCCAGAGCTACATACTGCAGGGCACAGGAAAATTACTTCTTTGCCATTTGTTTTATGAATCTAGGCCTTGTTATGCTGTTTATCACCCCTGGGAAGTGGCTTAAGATTATCATTTTGCAAAATGATATGATGAAATTGGGTGTGTTATGGCTATACTTGTTAATGATTAAGAACAACGGACAAGGCGAAATGGCAGCATCTTTGTACTTTGGGAGCTTAGCAGAAACCTTTAGCAATTGCATTTTTCACCTTTTCCCCTTGGAGAGCCAATCCATGGGGGGAACCTCCCCCTTCTCCTCCAGGTTAATTACGGCAGTGTTTGAGTACTTTGAATACCCTTGGGATGCTCAAACCAGTGGGCTCCTACTGCTAAATTTTTTGAATGTGTTTCAGGATTTGATCTTGCTAAGGGCTAAGCACCAGTGTGTATGTGGGCACACTATTCCAACCCCCATGATGAGCACTGTGGCTACTCCAACCCCCACTACAAGCACTCTGGCTATTCCAACACCTATGATGAGTGCTGCAGCTACTCTGACTGCTGTGACAAGCACTGTAGCTACTCCAACCCCCGCAACAGGCACTGCAGCTACTGGACCAGAGAACCAACCTGTGCTGGTATCAGTTGCCCCTATACAGTAGAAGAGATACACAAAAAAATCAGTTCACTTTGGAAAGGATGAAGATGAGCCAGGGTCATCATGAGAGCTGGATGAAGAGCCAGAGCTAACCCCCCAAAACTCATCCCTGGGAGACATGTGAGATTGTTAGGTCCCAGTCCGATTGTTGGACCAGAAGGTGTTTGTAATTATTCCAAGATGAAAAGATTTCAGCCATCACCCAGGCAAATAAACTGTCACCTGGCTGCTCCAATGCTGGTATAATGGGGCCAGTAGCTTGGACTTAGAAGGTAGAGGTGGGATCTCTGGCTTCCCTCTGGCTAGGGAAGGGGGTATTGACAAGGTGACTGGAAAAAACCCCACAAACTCTCAACCTCTGGAGGTGGGTTCATTTAGCCACCAAGGAAAGGTTTCCCTTCAAGGAAGATATATGTTACCCAGGTAAGTGGACCATCATGGAGAGAGGTACCCAGTACCTGAAGGAATTAGCTTTGCAGGACCTGATTTACTGTGTTGACCTGCAGTCAACCACAGATCCAGATGAAGTCCGATATATCTGACCCATATGGTAAAAGTTTCTACAAAGCACACCATCATCATATGCCAGCACATTGGCAACAACGAGATGGAGAGATGCAGAGGCACCAGCGGTGGATGCAATAGCCACCCAACTCCAGCAATATGAAGAAAGTCTTTCTACTTCCTACAGTCAGACTGTTGATGCTGGATACTACAGTCAGAACTAGAGGGGCCCTTCCCCCAGCCAGGTGGAGGAAAGGGACAACTGGGTTTACTGGACTCTGTGGATTTGATGACCTGGAACATCAGACCCACAGGAGTATAAGGCTCTAGTAGTCACTGGTGCACAGTGTACTGATGCCATCAAACTATAAAGGGGCAGAAGACATCTGTATTTCTGGAGCGACTGGGGGATCCCAACAGCTGACTGTATTGGAAGCTGACACGAGCCTAATCAGGAATGAGTGGCAAAAGCATCTCATTGTGACTGGCCCAGAGGCTCTGTGCATCCTTGGCATAGAACACCTCAGGACAAGGTATTCCAAAGATACAAAAGGGTACTGGTAGGCTTTTAGTATACGTGCTGTGGAGAATGAAGAAATTAACCAGTTGTCTACCTTGCCGAGTCTCTCAGAGAACCCTGCTATTTTGGGGTTGCTGAAGGTTGAAGAACAACAGGTGCTGATCACTGTCACAACAGTGCATCAATGACAACATTGCACCAACCAAGACTCCCTGATTCCCATCCATAAACTAATTCATTGACTGGAGAGCCAAGGAGCAATCAGCAAGACTTGCTGACCATTTAACAGTCCTATGTGGCCAGTATGAAAGTCTAATGGAGAGTGGAGACTAATGGCAGACTACCATTGCCCGAACGAAGTCATACCGCCCCTAAGTGCTGCCATGCCAGGCATCCTAGAACTTCAATACCAACTGGAGTCAAAGGCAGCTAAATTGTATGCCACAACAGATACTGCAAATATGTTTTTCTCACTCCCTTTGGCAGCACAGCACAGGCCACAGTTTGCTTTCACTTGGAGTGGCAGCCAATTCACATGGAATTGACTGCCCCAGGGGTGGAAACACAGCCTCACCATTTGCCATGGACTGCATGGCAATGCAGTTCCAGACTGCACTCGAACAGGGTGAAGCTCTGGAACACCTGCAATACATTGAAGACATCATTGTGTGGGGCAACATAGCAAATGTTTTTGAGAAAGGGAAGAAAACAAAATAATCCAAACCCTTCTGAGAGCCAGTTTTGCCATAAACCAGGGTAAGGCCAAGGGACCTGCACAGGAGATCCAGCTCTTAGGAATGAAATGGCAAGACAGAGGCCATCAGATCCCACTGAATGTGATCAACAAAACAGTAGCTCCACTAACTAGTAAAAAGGAAACACAAGCTTTCTCAGGCATTGGGGTTTTTGGAGGATGCATATTCCAAATTACAGTCTGATTGTAAACTCACTCTATCAAGTGACCTATAAGGAGAAAAATTTTAAATGGGGCCCTGACCAACGAGAAGCATTTGAACATATCAAACAGGAAACAGTTTGTGCAGTAGCTCTGGGGCCAGTCCACACAGGGCTCACCACCAAAATTGTGTCCTACACCACAGCCTAGTGGGCCTACCTGGAGCCTCTGGCAGAAAGCACCAGGGGAGACTCAAGGTTGAGCCCGAGGGTTTTGGAGTCAGAGACACAGAAGATTCAAAGCCCACTATACTCCAACTGAGAAAGAGATATTGGCAGCACACGAGGTGGGTAAAGCTGATTTGGAAGTGATTGGTATGGAAGCACAGCTCCCCTTAGCACCTCGACTGCCAGCGCGGGGCTGGATTTTCAAAGAGAGGGTCCCTCTACACATCATGCAGCTGATGCTACATGGAGTAAGTGATTCACAGTGATCACACAAGCTTGAAAAGGAAACACCAGTCACACAGAAATCTTGAAAGTAAGCATGCACTGTCCCAGGAAAAAAGAACCAAAAAGGAATCTGAGGTTTGTAGCTGTGAGCCCTTTTTATTTTTTTTTTCCCCACAATGAAAACAAAGTATCAATTATTCAGGGAAACTTACTTAACAGTCAGGATTGTAACAGTGGCCCAATATAACAACAGTCTAGCAAAAATGGTATAATAAATTTATGATAAAATCAGCCTGGAAGGAAATTGTTCTCCTAATCAACTATTTAGGGTTTGGCTCACATTATTAATGAAGAAGATGAGTATCTTAAACATCTCTTAGTACCTTATTTTTAAACTGTCAACAGTCTTCATATCATTAGAAACACACAACCCTTTTTCAGCTGTCACAGATTCAGGCTTCAATTACATTAAATTACATTTGGGCTAATGATTCCTGTCTATTAATATCTAACAAAAATCACAAAAAACCCATGGTATTGCCCTTGACCTTAATGCTCAGGAAAATGTATGGATATGGTACAACAAACATATATGTAAAAGTAATAATTATGATAATAAATAATAATAGTTAATAATAATAGAAATAATACAAATAGTATTTGTTTTCTGTCAGAAAACTGCCATTCCTCACAATACAGTGCTGAGCATCTGCAGGCATGAAAATCAATATATTATTTTTTCTTTTCCTCTGGGCTACAATTCATATTCAGTATCATGCCCACAAAACCAGTAAGAGGAATATCACGTATACCTGGATTCCTCTAGCATCTCTCTAATTCAGTTGTCAACCCACACAATTTGATTCATTCCCAGTCATACAACCATGACATCCACATTCATTTCCTCAACATTCTACCAGAGAAGAAAAGCCCGCCTTTTGTTTCTTTATGATATCTCTGCTAAAAAGCACAAATTGCACCACTGTGAAAAATCTGATGCACTTCTCTACATTAATAAAGAATTTGTTCAAATTAGAAGATTATGGTTAAGTTTGCTCGGTGAAAAATTCAGAAGATGGCAATGCCTGCATTAAAAACAGAAGAAGCAGTTCCTTTTGCCACCTC